GGCAGACAGGCACACAGACGAGCTAAGAGGAGTATAGATTTTCCAGGCAGATAGTGGAAAGATGTGTGCATCCTGATGAGTGCCACAAACAGGGCGCATGACTCTCTCGTCTGCCTGTTTCTGTGTTGTGTGTGTGTGTGTTGTGTTTATGTGTATATCTGTGTGTGTCAGTGTATTAGCAGTCAGAGCACTGAAGCCCACGGGCGATTCCTGTGTGTGCTTGCGATAAAGGGAAAAAGGGAGGAAGTATAACGGGGGGGAAAGCGGGGCGTAGAGGCGGGGGTGAGGGGTGGGTGGGTGAGAGTAGAGATGAGGAAGTTGGATGGGGGTATGGGAGGAGGTGGGGGGGGGGGGATAGAGAAAGAGAGAGAGAAAGAGAGCATCTAGCAGAGCATTGAGCTTCCTCTGTGCTGTCAAAGCCTCTGGATCATGTCCCCATCGGTCTCTCGCTCTCTCTCTCTCTCACACACACACACACTTTCCCTCACCCAATTGCTCTCTTTCCCTCAAACCAACCCCTCCTCCCCTCCCTCTCATGAAAAGAGTGTCTTGGCAGGGTAATTAAGAATGGCCTCTAAACACAGGAGTATGGCAGGAAAGCTCCAGATGAAAGTAAATGATTAAAATAATTACAGGCTGAGAGCTGACGAGCCGGAGTGTGGGGTGGCCGCCGGACATTTGTCGGTAATTAGATAATTAATCTGAATGCAAATGATGAGCCCTAACGAAGCAGTCAAGCTGAACCAGCGACAACTGCCGTGAGTGAAATGTAAGGTGGGGGGGAGAAGAGAGAGGGAAAAGCAGGGGAAGAGATTTGGGCTGGGTGGAGAAAAAAAACAAAAAGAAAAATATGAATTTTAGTATAAAACCTCCTGAAAGTCAGCATGAGCAGACTCAACTGCAAGAAGAAGAAGCAGCAGCAGAATTGCAAATCAATAAGTGTTTCTGGCAGTGACGGCGGAAAAACACCCCCCACACCTCGCCTCACTCTGTTTGTAACTTTCACTCCTAATGACAAGTAGACATGAATATCTTGTTAAAAATATACAAAAAGGCACAAGCCATGTGTTGTGCAAAAAATAAATAAATAAAAAATGTCTGCACTGAAACACCAAATGAAGGGTACGAACATGAAATGGCACCTGAGGAAGAAAACAGAGCGCGCTTTGCACACCCTAAAATGCGTGAGCAAATTGTGGATTTACTCACTCGCTGCAACACATCCAAACACACACTCGTTATATCTCCGCACCTCTTCCTCATACACACTCTCAAATACTATCAGCAAGTGTATGTGCTCTAAGCGGAGGTAAACACTGAACTTCAGAGCTTATTCGGAGGCAGGGTTGTGTTTTTTCTCTCTCTCCAAGGTTGGTATCTGTGCAAGAGTGTGGATCACATCTTTAAATTTAAATAAAGATCTTCGGGGTTTATTCATCGCGATTCTGAGCAATAAAGCTGAAAGTCTTACAGAATACAGCAAATATTATATATTGCTAAAGATGTGGCAATTCTGTCTTCATTAACAGCAGTGGGCATTAAAGCACCCCACAGTATTATAATAAATAACTTCCTGAGTGGGCAAGAAAAGAGCTTGAAAAGGTAAAGCTGTGATTATTTTAATGGTATTAAGAATCTCATTTGAAATCAAATAAATAAAACAACTCATGTGATGCAAGTGATGGTGATGGTTTCACATTTTGCAAATTCCACCACCAAGAAGAACACAAACACGCCTTCCTGCAAAAGCTTTAACTGTCATAACTTGCAGGTTTTACATAAAATATAAATACAAACAAATCTTTATTAAGGCTATACAGGTGAATCAAGAAGCAGCAAGAGATAGCATAAATTTATAGGGTACACACACACACACAAGTGGGAAACAGGCACACAGTTGGAACTATTTAAGATGATAACAAAAGAAGAAAAGCACACAGCAAAGCTACAGAGACAGATTACTAACAAACTAAAACAGCAACTAACTAAATGGAGAAATTACATGGCACAGTTGAATACTTGACATACTTGAGATGCTAAAAGAGCCTAATAAATTAAAGCACGAGGGATTAAATATCTAGAACTAAAGAGAACTAAACTAACCAAGCAATTCAAAAACTAAAGCATAAGAACAATTGAGAAATAGAAGACTCAAATTAACAACAAAATAACCAGAAAAGCACAGACCATGGTGTGAATTTAACTGAAAAAGCCAAATTTGTCTTTTATTAATGGTTTTCTAAACTCAGTGAGCACAACAAGGGCAAAAAATGACTCCAAAATTGTGGCTAAATTGTGGTTCACATTGAAATCTAATGAAATAAAGAACTTTCAATCCCAACTGTTAGTGTTCAGCATCTATCAGTAATCCAGGTTTCGGTGCTAGGTTAATTCTAATACCTAAACACCAAAACATTTCAATTGCCATCATGTAGAAGGGGACATGGGGGAGACAGAGAGGCATGTTAAAATAACAAATAACATCCACATGAATACTCTTTGAATGGTAAGTTTCCCATCAGACTCCATTTGGAATTTTAAAAAATAAGATACTGTTTGGATTATAACATTATACAGAATACTTTTGTGTTTTCCGACAGTCCTTAAATTACATATTTGGCCTGCTGTATGTGTCTAACACAACTACACAATATAAGTCATCCACCAACTCACCTGCTTGATCTTCTGTAGAAGCCACACAATCTCTGTCTCCTGCAAACAACCAGGTCTCCAGTCTTCACTGTCGTCTGATGTCCAAGGGAGGAGCCGCATTTACCTATGCATTCATATCTGCTTTACTAAATAAACTGGAAGCAATATCTATTGATATCCTTCATTATTCTAGATTCACCAATTAACCTGAAACGAATGTATTTGCACTGTGGAAGGAAGCCAGAGTACCTGGTGAGACCCCACCCATGCACAGGAAGAACATGCAAACTCAACACAGAAAGGCCCGAGCCAGCCAGAACCTGAACTTGCTGTGAGGCGACAACGCTAACCAATGCACTAACTTACATATAACCTAAAAACAAACCCTAACTTGGCAACCCTCATATTAAAAACTTCAGCTTCTCTTTGTGGGTTCCTTTCCTGACTGCCTTGACAATACTACTTTTTTCTCCTCCGATATTTAACTAAAAGAACTGTTGATGGGTTTTCTTGCTATTTTGGGGTACAGAGTGGTACTAAATGAGAGCATGGGTATGTGCCAATTTTTTAGCATCTAAAATCAGTAGCTATCACTGCAACATAGCAACAGATATCTCGGAAATTTATATTTCACATTTTGGACAATATCATTAATGTTTTAACCTGAAAGTCTCACATGTTGGATCTGTATGCAGCAGTAGGCTGATGTGTTGGGGTAGTGGGTAGAACAGTGGTTAACAGAGTTGCCTCACAGCAGATATATCCTGGTTTGACTTTTTTGACTTACTTGGCTGTGTGAAGATTGCATATTCTCTCTGTAATCCTAAGACTGGTGATTCTAACTTGTCTTGTCTGTCTCTCTGTGATAGGCTGGTGCCCGGTTAAGGGTGTACTTCACTTTTGAAAATGTGGATGAGGATACTCATCTATTCAAAATCTCCCATTGGTCAGCTGTTAAATGTAAATATATGGACTTAGATCGGTTTAATACCAGATGAATCAACTTGGTGATCTTTTGTGTCCTCTATTCAAACGAGTGTGTCTGTCAGCAACAAATGTGTTATTTTGTAAGTCAGATCTTCTTATTTTAGCTGCTCCCTTTAGGGGTCACTACAGCAGATAGTCTAATGCCATCTTGTCCTATCCCTAGCATCTGTCACACCAACCCTTAACTCACAGCCATACCACCTTGAACATGCCTGGTCTCATGGCAGGTCCTGGTTAGTACTTAGATGGGAGACTGCCTGGAAATACTATGTCCTGTAAGTTTGTGGGGTGACTATAACTCAGGAAGTAGAGCAGGGTCATCCACATATTGGAATGTTGTCACATGGATCCCTGGCTGCTCCAGTCTGCATACCAAATTGTGCTTGGGGAAGATACGTAACTCCAGTGGCTTTCTGATGTGCTCATTGGAGTGTGAATGTTAACTAGAAAGTATTTTTCACACATTGGCTCATGTGATGAGGCACACGATCAATAGTCGGTCAGTGACCTTCTTAAGATACAACTCCCACTAGGGCTTAAAGACCTGGGACTCTCCAATATTTGGTTTTAGAAGTGAAGAAGCTTCTTGGATGAAACGTCTTCACAAATCTTAAGGAAATCCAGTTGCTTTTCTTTCTGAGCTCCATGACCTAGATGACAGAGAAACCTACACAGACAGCTCCTTCTAACCTTTTTTATACTTCTCTAAAGCAAGCATCTCACATATATTGCTCTTTCTCAGCATGAGGCTGCTGCTCACCAATCATAGCTTCAACAACTCTTTCCCATATCTTCATGGTGTGGCTCACCACCTTGATCCCTCTGAAGTTACTACAGCTCCTCACGTCACCCTTCTTCATTTTTAAGTGATAAATAAATCAACAAATCCTGACATGTTTTCAAGAAGCACTGGTTACTCACAACATAGCTCCTTGTTAGTGCAAATTATCCTCTCTATCCACTCCTTTAAAAGACTCTGGAGGAAAAATGTCCACCACTCTCATTAAATAGAGACAGTTTGCCCACTCAGTCATTCAGTTCACCTCATCATAACCACTGGAGACCACCTCTTTGCTGTCAGCATGCTTGGTTGGCACCTTGTTAGTCTGTGCTGGCTAATCCTGAGTGCCATCATCAGGCAATAACTTCAAAACACAAAATACTAGTGACAGATTAAATAAACAGATTTCTGTGAAATATTCATTTTACAGCTGGAATAAGATGAAAATACCATTTATAATGTTGCTAGTCTGTGATGGTCATCTTTGTTATTTTTTATTTCTTCTTTTGTTTTATAAATTAAGATATTGTGTGTAATTTGGGGAAAATAAAGGATAAAACACTATACTTTGACTCAGACGTCAGATCTGGCATTAGCATTTATTTACATGAAAATTTCCAAGAAAAGACACATAAGAAAACAGTTCAGGACAAGAGTATTGGCAACTGCTATTGAACCTTTGTGTCAACAAATGTGGATTCAAACACTCTATAAAAGAGAAAATACCCTGGTTTTAGATATAGAAAATAATACCAAAATCTTTTGTTTGCAGCCTCTATTAAAAACATTAAAAGAAACAAAATGTACTCTACAGGGTAGAAAACTGGCCCTTTGAAGGCTACAACTCCCCCCGTATTATGCGTCCAGGGTGACACAAGATTCTTTTTGTCTTTGTTTTATTCTTATTTATTCAACCCTTATGCCAGGGGAGATAATGAAATATTCATATTAAGATTAAAATAAGAACACAACTGTTTTAAAAGCCTTTAAGATCCCGCCAGAGTAAAAGCGATGGTCACACACCAGATAAAAATCAGTGAAAGGCATCTTATTTGAAAAATACCAGCACCAGTCAACAATCCTGATATATTTGTGCATCCTGACTGATTATGCTACAGGTGAATGTATCTAAACATTTTAATTTTGGTCTTGTTTATGTAACTATGGGGCCATTATAACATCAAAAACTATCCTGTCTGTAAGCATCCACAAAATGACTAGCAATCACATTAAGAGCAAACTCCAAAATGATCAAACTTTACAATAAGAACAAATAGAAACAGATAAAACTTTAATGTTTTGAGTAAGAAAAGCACATTTTCAGCAGAGTCCTCCCAGAGTCAGTGTTTGTATGCATGTCTGTGACAAACACAAGCATGCTGCCAAGTCTTTTTTTCCCTTGAATATTTACTCCATGACCAGTTCAAACTCCTCAGCCTGGTCAAACTCTGCATTCATCTTTGCAGCCAGAGCGTCCAGTTCCGTGGCGTCTATCTGCTGGACCTTCTTCTTCCTCCTCCTCCTCCTCCTCTCCTTCACCACGGCCACTCCGGGGATGTCTGGGTCCGGCTCGGGGAAAGCTGAACCACCGCAGTCATCAGCCTCAAGCAAAGACGTGAATGAGTTCAGTCCTGTAAAGGATCCTGCAGAAACCTCCAGGCCAAACTTGGACACCCCGGCTCTCCGGACCTCTGGGGTTTTCAGCTTCTCAAAGCCGAATAAAGTCTCACGAGACTCGGGGCTGTTGAATGAATTCTCGCTGAGCCTGCTGTAAGATCGGCGTACCTTCTGCGACCACACCGCGTCCTCTGGATCCATCTGCGGGGTGTGAGAAGCGGGCGGCGGTGATGAGGGGAGGATCGGTGAAGGCATAGTGGCCTTTTTCTTCTTAGCCGAGGAAGAGCTGCTCTCTCGGCCCGGGACGGGACCGGGCGTGGAGACCTTCGGCTTTTTCTGCTGGATGCCCTCAGAGCTGGACGGCCTCGGCGTGTTCTCCTTGTTCTGTTCCGATAACGCGACTGTTTTTCTGGGCGCTATTTTTCTTACGGTGATTGAGCGTTTAACAGCGAGAGACGGCAGCGCCATTTTGTTGTCACTTTGAGCTTGCGGAGAGCTCAGCCGCGGGGAGCGTCTCCGCTGCGAGCTGTCAATGCTATTAGAGTCCGTCATTATGCTCCGAGGAGTCCCTTCGTTCATCCCAACAGTCTCTTGAAGAAACTCCAGATACTTTCCCCTTCTTACAGCAGATCAGACTGTAACTCAACCAACACAGGGCACACAACAACAGCGAACGTTCAAATTGCCCGCCCGCGTCGCGTGAAAAATATGAGCTTCTTTTGCTGTGACGTAAACACTGTGCGCCGGCTATCACAAACTTTTGCTGTGTAATCCATACAGGCGAGGCTAAGAGACTGCTCATAATTTAATCTGTTTTATATAAATATTCCAACTTGTATCAGGTCAACAGAATGGAATATTTAATCGGGATACAGGGACCGGATTTTGTCCTCGTCGCCGCTGATAATGTTGCAGCAAGCAGCATCATTCAGATGAAACACGGTATGACAACGCGTTAGCTTATAGCGTTAGCCGCATAGCCGGTTATTTTAGACAGATTTGCTAACATAGCTACATTTTAGAGTCTCTAAATGCATTAAATCGGCTTTCTGCTTCTAATAAGTACTACTTGAACCAATTTTTTATTCATTTTGCTAAATATTTACATGTAACTACACACTGAATGTGACTAAAGCTAGCCAAGCTAACAGTAGGGTAGCAAATAATATCTTCTATCGCAGTTTGATGTTTTTTCTCAGCATTATCATAACCTTTTCCTAGCTAATAGATCAACTCTACATTTCATTCGTAACTAAAGTTGGCAACCTTAGCATGAGTTGCCATAAGAAGGTTACTGACAACGAAAGTGAAAGTCACTGTATCACTGTGGAAATGGAAGTTTACTTACACTCACCATGGATAATTTTAGCCTATTAATGATTTGTTTGATCTGTTCTTTTTGCAGAGTGAAATGATTGTACAGCATGTGTCTTTAATGAATATAAAAATGAGAGTTGGGAGAACAAGTTTGAATTTACTTCGTATTTGGTTCACTTAGCAAGTTGTACCTTGATCTTATATTTTTGGAAGGCATCAACAGACTTCTGGCATAATTCTGACTGAGTTTTGACCACAATTCTTGATGCTTCAACCTGCAAGCTGTTAAATTGGATTGAGGTTGAAGAATTTGGAGGTAGTCCTTCATTATTATTCTGTGCACTTTGTTTAAAGTACCAGCACCACTGCCAGCAAACTGCCCCAGAGCATGATGCTACCACCAGGCTTAACAGGTCATGCAGTGTTTTTACATCTGAAAGCCTCACCTTTACTCCTCCAAACAACATCTTGTCATTGTGGCCATATACTTAAATTATTGTCTTGTCTGGCCGTAATACTTTGATCGTTGAGTGATCCATGTGGTCAGCAATTTTGGAGCACGGGCTTCTTTTCTGGTGGGCACCCTCTCAGTCCATGGTGATGCAAACACCCTTCGCTGTGCATTGTGCCACCAGCAGTTTTAATTTCAAGGTTGGCTTGAGCCTTGGTGGTTCCTGAACAGCCTAATTAGTTTCCTCTCATCTGAAAGTGACTATTTGGGTCTTTCCCCAGGTGTTTGCAAAGTGGTGACACATCCATACAACTTGTACTTGCATTCATTTGTTTCAACTGATGATCTTGGAATCTGTAGTTGTTCTGAGATGGCTCCAAGAGATCTTCCTAACTTGTGTAAATCTATAGTTTCTTGGGCTTTTTCATTGTTCTGAGTATTTGCCAATCCAAATAGTGGTGTCAGTCAAATCCTTTTTATGCTGGAAAAATAACAGTTCAAAGAAATCATCAATAGCCCAAAGTTACCATGGTCATGATTAGTGTGTGTGTATAAAGGTTTGACTACAAACTATAAGACAATTTAGGAACAGACTAATGAATTTGTGTTCTTCCTTATATTTTTTCAGACTATGACAAGATGTTCAAGCTCAGTGAGAAGATTTTGCTGCTGTGTGTGGGAGAAGCTGGAGACACAGTGCAGTTTGCAGAGTACATCCAGAAGAATGTGCAGCTCTACAAAATGAGGAACGGTAAGAACCTCAGACATGATTGTTGTGATGCTGCTGGTGCTTATAGGTTTTAAGTTTAACTCTAAAATGTTTTTGGGAAACCAGTTTGCTTGCTAAAAACATTTATATTCAAAGCTTTGTGCCTTCTTTTTCTTAGGTTATGAGCTCAGTCCATCAGCAGCAGCAAACTTCACGCGAAAGAACCTGGCAGACTATCTTCGGAGCAGGGTAAATGTCCTGATATATTTATTAAAAAAAAGAATAATATAGTAAGGCTACACAGATATAAAGTCAAAGTGATCAATTTTATTTTAATCTTTGTGTCTCATTAATTTTTGCACCGACTAATCGAAGACGGTGTGGTAAAGAGTTGGAAAACTGTAAAGTATTTAAGTTTTTTTTTTGTTTTTTTTTTGTTATAATGAAGTTTTCTTTATTTCTTTCGCACTGAAGAAGTTTGGAGGTAGCACATAACAGAAACCAGATAAGTAAGAACAAACTTTTGACAGATTTTACACATCAACATTGACCTTGAGTGGAATGGAGATGATCTGTACATCCCCAGATACTACAGTCCATTTTACTGTGTGCTTTTCTTCTTTTTTTTTTAATTGAAGAAGAATGGCTTCAAGCATTGTCTTTTAATATAAGAATTAGCTTGAAATTATAGGTGTATTCGTTATTTCGCCAAGTAAAAAACTTTGTCTGAGTTGTTAATTTGTTGGCACAGTGAAGATTACCTGATATATATATAGTCATTCAATGCTGAAAACAATAGGGTTGCGCTTGAATCCAAGTTATATCAGTAGAATCAGATTTGATCATAATATTCTCGCGTCTTTTTTTTGTTTTTGTTTAGTCGGTTTTAGTTAATTGTATTTCTTTTGCAGTGACCAGTCATTCTTCTTTAGTTTGTGGTTCCTTGTCCATCCACTTATTAGTTGTTTGTTATAAGTAATACTTTAGGAAGATATTTTTTCTTAAATGTACAAATCAGTTAATATATTACCTAAATGTCAAAGGAAGCTAAACATTTTTAAGCACTGACTTGACTAAGTCAACACCTTTATGTTTATCTGTGGAGGAAAGTGTTGAGTTTCCAGCAGTATATGCCACACCATCAGGACCCCACTCTCTATTTTGGGTCCATTAATGTGCCAATTTAGACTTGTGAAAAAAGAGATCCTTAGAAAAGTGAAATTCACAAACAAGTTCATAAGTTTGGATAGAAAAAAGATTTTAAAAAAACAATTAACAAAGTGGAAAAACATTTTTTTACTTTACCTTGTGTATCAGAAATCCACACGTTTTTTATTATTATTATTATTATTATTATTATATGTTTGATATTGTAAAAAATTATTTGTCCCTGTTGAATGCGGCCTCACCTAAGTGCTATTTTTTTTTTTAACTGTCACAGCCACGAGCTTGATGTAAAGCAGTGGTCGTAACCTGTGTTTTGTGAGAGCTGCTTTCTCTTGCCCCGGGGAAAATGTGGTCTGTTGAGACTAGAGAGCAGAGACTACAATCATAACCAGCATAATTGTTTGACTTCAGGTGCCTCATACACACTATGCAGACATAAAGAAGTGATATCTTTTGTAGATGAAAAAATTTCTCCACTCTGCTTATTCAGAGTTTGATCATTGTAACTGATCCTTCGCAGGTGAGTCTCCACAAGTCCGTTAAGTTTTGTCTTAATGAGTGAAATCATAATTGGTGTAAGGGTTTAACGTTTCAAAAATGAGTGCAGATAAAACAAAATAAAGAAATCAGCAAAATAATGCAACATATATCATATTTGGTCTTTTGCTAAACATTTTTTCGTCACTAGTTTCAGATGTGATTGAGCCCAAATGACTATCATGTCTAACAGAAAACAACCTGCGCTCGCTTAGTTTCCCCACACATATGTCATCTTGCAAAGATGCATTTGTTCTGCCTTGGACTCTCTGTCTTCCTCCATATTTTACTTTTTGCTTCAAGTATACTTCTACCCTTTTGCCCATTTTCAAATCATCTCAACACTAGTATCCTTGTATATTTTCTCTGTTAACAAAACAGTTGCTAATTAATCCCAAGTTCTAGTGGTCACCGTCTGAATTAAGCATATTCATCCTGGAGTAATGAATGAACATACCTATAAATATTTTAATTTCTATTTTAAATTAATTACACTCTTCTGCCAGTATTTGCAATCTCATTTGGCTTAAGGGAACAAATGATAAAATCACCAACTAATTCAAGTAAGACTAACCATATAAGGTAGGTTTACTCATCCAATTTAAAAATGTATTTTAGTTTCTACTTGAAATTCATTTTCTTTGCTCAAAATGAAAACATAGTAACAGAAGCCCTAAGTGTGTTGATGACACGGCAGTGCTGTGGTGGTGCTGAAGAGGTGGTATTACCAAGGAGCTCAGGTGGGAATGAACTCCCACTTGAGTTGGCACATGTGTTTGTATCATTGTCAGCTTGAGACACTCATGTTAAACCAGCAGATGCATTTTGACAGAGCCAGGTACATTTGTCAGCTTGTTGTGAAAGGTGACTGAGGGTTCTCCCTCTGAGATTTCCTGTAACACCTGAGCCTGCAGGCCTGTCTCTCACCCTCACTACACAGATCTGCTGAATGTCTTATCAAAAAATTCTGGTTTTGACCTTTAGTTCTTTATTACATCTTTTACACAACAAGACAGCCAAGCCTGAGAATGAGAAACACGCAAATTACTGCTACTTTATCTGTGTTACTTCATGCAGATGTTATATTGCAATATATAGAGCTGGGGGGGGTCAGTACCTTAACACTTTAATGTTAATTAACCATTTTATTTGTCTTTGTTAAAAATGTTCCTGGTGACTAATTTACTAGTAGCTAAAATATTTTAAAAAAGACTAGCCGAGTAGTGACTGTTCATGCACAGTGCAAGCAATTGGAAGAATGAACACTTGAGCTCAGTCAGGGTTAAATGCAGTCTGTAGAAAGATTGCATGTGTTTTTAAGAGTCCTGAGAAACTATTTATCACTTTCTTCTGTAGTCAGTTTATCTTTTCACATTCTTCAATTATCAAGTTCAATTTTAAATTCCAATGACATATGTGGCACTTCGGGCCATATATAATGAACCAATCCCAAGTTCAGTCTCCTGATAGCCTTATGAGTAAAGCGGGGATTACAGGGCAATACTTAACGCAAGT